ACAGACGTATTTGAAAATGTTAGAGCATAACTTTGTTTGATCATGTTTCGAACACCTTGAATATTAATGAATTTGAAAAGTGAATTGTTCAACTTTGCGTTACCTTCGTATTTATTATTTCCTGGTCAATAGGTTGGACTGAATGATTGCAAATTCTAACATTGCAAATTCACGACACTGAACTTTTTTAATTACTTCAGCATTCTTTCACATACATGTTGTAACATAGGTAAATGCATATAGTTTACTCATTGAAAAACTAAATGTAACAAGTTTCGTGGGATGCATAAGCACGTAGACGTTTAAGTACCTGAGCACTCACACTCGATCAAATGAAATAATTCATCTTTGAATAGATAAGAAACAAAACCCATGTTTGAAGAAATATAATAAGTGAATCTGCATTGATTGACATATCGCTCCACATTTTTCTGGTGTTTTACTTACAGCCCTACCACTCGATAGTATTTCATAGTACTCGACTAATAAGTTTCTAAATTCAGAGGACTAGCAGCACACGGAGTTTAATTTGAAGCAACACGCCCACACATGCAACATTATCTCTTACATTGCTTTGTGTAGTAGGCATTCAGTTATAAGTCAGACAAATGTGGATGATTGGCATTTAAAATGGTTAGTGTTTCACACCTATTAAATGTACAAATATTAACAATAACATTGCGACGACTCAACATAATGGTATGTGTAGGCTTTCAAAAAGTGTTTATTTTATTGAGGCATTTCTTCTCTAAGCAAGTCTGATAATAAGACTGAACATCAGCCTCACGATCCTACACCTGAATGTCATGGAATTGCTTTCACTAGATTCAATATTTGTGAGCCTCTTACGTGCATTTTCTAACTGGTTCATTCGTTTGCTCAAATACTCCTCATTCACTGAGAGTTAAACATAAGGCCCTGCAAGATTTCAGGAAATCTTCTATGATCACGTTTTCCTCGAAAACCATTAAGTGAATGATTCAAAATGGTTTCAACTCAGTGTGACCAGAAGGATTAAAACACATACTATCATCTGCAAGTTATGTTCACTTTATCAGAGATAATTTCTACTGATCGAAATAAAATCCTTAAAATAGTAATTGGCCTGGTGTAAATCATAAGAAGCAAACATCGCCTTATTCGAACAAGAATAAGCTTGACAGCAATTAACATTGGTGAAGGAATTATTATTAATACATGGCAGTGAGTCTCATTCATGTTATTTTGTCTGGTTAGGCGGATAGTATTGCTTCTTAGCGTATCTGCAAGCGTCCGTTTTGGAGAAGAATAAGGAAACCACGTATTTCAAAACTCAACTTTTGCACTTTATTGACTGCGAAATCGACTTTCTACCTTTATCCATGTGCAGTTTTGCTGTATCCATCTAGGCATTATTATCAGTATCTACCTATTCACCAAAAATTGTCGACGCAGATTTTGTTAAGAAGTAATGCGTGTTTTGCAGAAAAGCATTAAAAAGTTTTAACTCAGATTTACTCTGTCATTTCCTGCTCCATCTGTTTGCTTGAGCGTTTAGATGAAACATCTAAATTGACTATTCGATCACAAATGACACGCAGAATTTGCATGCCAGACCATATAGTGCGGACCAAGTACACTGAATCAGTTTAGTCTAACGAAAGGGATGTTAAGTTTGTTGATTTAATCGTGACATAATTAATTCGAAATCATAGCCGTGTTCACCCTAAAATACGTCGTAGGAGGTTACTCACCCAAATAAACATAGCAATGAAGCTTATTTAAAAGTGATAACACACCTCTGGACGTATTTCTAACAATACACTTCGTTCGGTGATTCATCAGATTAGTACGCATCAAACTTTTCATAAAATAATTGATGACTTCCGATGTTGTATCCACTTACAGGTTAATATGTTGATTATAAACGTTAAAAATGAAACAGTGTTTCTTCTGACTAACCAGACTTTGTTTGCTCTGTGTTTAATTATATGACTTCTGGTTATTATTTGTGTGACAGTAGAGCGGTTTGTATTTCACCGTAGGAGTTTGTTGCTCGTCTTTTCACTGCATTTCTCACAACTGACATATCTAACTGATATCAATTTTTTTTGTTTTGTAACTGCAAACTTTTGAAAATGACTCAAATACAAGTATCAAAACATGAGTAGTTGAGAGAGACACGTTATCATGCAAATAGGAAGAAAGGGCACCCCAACAACTCCCTCACTTTCCTGATTCAGATAGGCAAATGTTCTGTAAATCAACTATTTGATTGATGTTCACGCATATTTTATAAATATTAGGCTAAGTCTCTGTTACTTTGATAACGGTCAATTATATGGTAATAATCAGTTGATGGATAAACGTGATCTGACTTGCATTTAGCCTTTAGTTAGCTCATAATAGATTCAGTCTATCAAGTCAGTGTTGTCTGATATCTACGCACTAAATGTTAATTACAACTTTTGCGCTTTACGAGTTGATGACGGATTGATATCAGTTAGAGACCCATTGAAAACCAGACAGTACTGGACATTTGTTTCATCCTAGTTTGGGAATCATCGGCAGTACGCATTTACTGAGATTCGCACCTCCTACAAATAACATAAGTGCATTCACCTATCTTCGCTATTTAGAGTTTTTTAATGTTGATGCACAAAAAACACCAGGTGAATTCTACAACTTATTGGATTTAGTCTTTAAATTAATTGAAATAATTACTCAGCATATAAACAAAATGGTGAGATTGAGAGTTAACGTGTCCATCTCCGAATATCTTTATGTTTGTTCCCAGAAGATCAAACTTTGTTGTTTATTAATTCCATTTTGAAGGAATTTCGGCAAGCCAATAAACTGGTACTTTTAAACTTCAGACGTCATGTATATTCATGGTTGCATAAGAAGCTGCATGACTATGATATGATGAACGTAAATGATAGGGTACGAATATATATAAAAATTCTAAATCAAGCAATAATATCTGCATGAGTGGGTCATCAGATTTATTGACCTTCGCAACCTTAGTAACTTTCGTGTCGAATGAAGTGTATGGACGTTCCAGCCACAGAATTCCAATAGTACAAATGGATATTTAGTAATTGTTGTGCATATGCCAAAATATTTTCTCAACACTCGTCAGAATTTGTAACTAAGAGATATCTGAACTTGTACAAAGTCATTTCGGCTTGATCTGTCATACTTAGGTAGAAATGGAAATAATCTGTAATTGTAATTTTCATCTCTTCATCTTTAAATACTTCTGTATTTGGCACTGGTAATTCCATGTTTTACCGGGACGCCAGTCTGTCGGCATTTGCAAAGATATATATTTGATAGAAAATGTAGAATTCATGATTGTCAGGCAAAACTTTTATATACTGAGTGGGATTTATCAAATACACAATTTATGCAGTAGACTAGCCATGGTGGTTTATGTATTCTCAAATATGAAACAACTGTTTATCAGATTTCTCTGTTCTCTGAACAATTAGGATTTCCTACTTAGTCCACTAATCATATACGTCTATGGAAAAATGAAAAAAGAATGTATACCTGCGCAGGTAGACTATGAAGCCTCTTGTTAGAAGCATAATTCATGGGTGCTACATGTTATCATTACTATTCCATGAAATCTGGTGTTTTACTTTGTCATTTAAGATTTCAAAATACGTTTCACTCATGTTTAAAACGATTCGTGTTTATTTCAGTGAAGTGTTATATCACTCTATTAGTGAGAGGGCAACTGAAACTGTGCTAATTAAAAATGAAATTCGTTGCTGATATGAAAAAATGTTGGTTATGTATTTTTCAAGGGCTAACATAATCTTGAAATGAAACCGGTGTATAGTGTGTTAAGTCAGAGTTTGTTGCCTCTTATTTAATAGGCTGAACTCAGAATAAAATCAATGACTTGATGTCTTAGATTAACCTTCGATAAAGTGTAGACTGCTGTGACAAAATATGGGTATTCGAAATTTCCACTGGCATCGGTCTACTTGAACATTTCTTGCAGAGAATTAGGAAATCACTTTGTGATATATTTTTTTTCATTTATTGTCCAAGCGGAAACATTGAAGTAGATCTTCTTGAATGCAATCACAATTATTTCCATACAGTATCTGATGTAATTGTGTATTGGTGCACATAGTCCCTCCTCTATGTAAATCCAAAAATACGTCCAATGAGACTTAAACATTGCGACTTCCAGTATGTTACTTTTCTAGGAGTTACTCGGATTCTGTGGGATAATATTGCATTATGGAAGAATAATGACTGAGTATGGAGTAAAAACGAGACAACAGCATTCAGACCTCCTATATTAAGTATTTTTTCCACCTGAGCACCTTTGTTTTTCAAGGTTCACATTAAAAATATGCATCTGAGATATATCCAATAGTGAGTAAAATGTGTAAATCGACAGTTCGTGATTCCCGATATCTTCGAAGTTTCCCATATTTGAAATTTCCACATTCTATCATTCATATTGGTGTCTGTGTTTGTCTACATGTGTTAATTTGAACAAATACCTAGGGTTCTTTATCACTGTCAATGTATGCCTTTGAATTCTTATTCGAAAGAGGACACCCATCTTGACCAATGTAGTGTTAATCCTATTTTATGCAGTTTATTTCGTACATGGTTTTTTTAATCATACGAAATAGGCATAGAACACGAATTAATAGTATCACTCCAATCAAGTATCACGCATAATAAAAGATCCAAGCATGAATACGTTAAAGATAATATCCACTGACCCAATGGAACATTACAATCAGTAGAAGACTCAAAGCATTCAAGACAAGAGAAACGTTAATCATAAGATAGACAGCTACAGATATTTGATGTGTCTCTCTTCCACAAATGTGTCACTTCTAAACGAGTAAAAATTCCACTTGTTTAAAATGTCTCATTGTATGTCTTTCACCTTAATAAAAGCCAATAAGAAATCGAGTTACACCTAATATATAACTGATAATTATTAACTAAGTGCCAAAATCGTATACTCCTTGAACAGAAACATGTTGAACAAAATATGTTTGACTGCGATATCATCAGTTGTCTTGTGTAAGTAGTTCTTCATTTTTGTAATGAATTATTGGACATTTCTTGAAAATCAGTCCTAATTTCTTTGTTTAATTTAATTTTACTTTCTAAAATTACATTTCATCATATTATACATGGCGCATATGACATTTATCATTTTCTTCTAGATGTCATGCATCTGCCAGTGTGTGAGTCAGGATTCATCTGGGGTCTTCTTTGTAAGTTGTTTTGAGTGATTCTAAAATTTAAAGGGCTTCATCATTTTCACTTCCACGAGGAATAAAATCATGTAGCTGAAAATGTCGTAATGATCTGTTAGGTCCTGTGCATGATAACCACATGAAACACTGACTGCTTCATTTCAATAATTCTTCAATGGTCAGCATACATATCCTTAGTAGACACGACAATAATTCACTCGGTTATTCTTAATGGACGCTTTGAAGTGAGCGATTTTACAGTGATAATGCGCCTGTCTATTGACTCCGTTGACTTTCACGAATGATAATATTTGCTATCCGATAAAACTGCTTATATTCTGCGTTGAATCTTTGGTAAATCAGGCCTCATTCCATATATCAGAAGGTTGTTATGTGATATCAGCTGCATTAGGTGTTATTCCTTAAAATGCCCCATGTTTGACGATCAAGGAAGACTAAGTTTACCAGTTTCAAACATAAAAAGTGTGCACCGCATTTATTCAGCCTCACTTACTTGCAGAAAACAGATTTTGTATGTCTGCAAACTTCCAAAAATGATTTGCACTATAGGACTATGTTTTTTTACTAATTTCAGAACATGAGACTGGCTGGAAAAAGATTTAATCTTGATTATGTTTGTTTTATTATTGTTTTTATTATTTATCGTTTTCATCTGTTCACCTCTCAGTTTTTCCCTCTTAGTCCTACTATCTCATTGAGGTAGCTGGCTATAAACGCTACTAATTTAGGTTTCAGAAAGTTTTTCTGAAAAGATTATGGATTTGAGGGAGTCAAGGCAAGCAAAAGTGATTACATGCAGAATTACGTTAATGTAACGGTTGAAATTGAGGGTCAACTATCATGTACGGGAATCAAACAGTTTTGAAAAGTTTATCAACCTCAATGAAATTGCATTTTGATTTCCTTTGATTATTCAACACACAGGTGAATTTCTTGGAATATTTTGCGACGGTATGCATCTGCACGTAATTACTTCTTTTCTCTCTTTTTAAAATTTCGAATTCTGAGGATAGTTTCAGTGTTACTGAGATCAAGTAGATATTTGCTTCGATTTATAGAGCTTTTATTTTACTCTCAGTTGAAAGGTTTGATATTAGTTTTACTAAATAACTGATTTACAATAGGCTGTGACTACCGGAATCGGCTAAACTGCATTTTTTATTTAAAAGTAACTCTACCACAACGGTTATTCTGATGGTAGATAAAATGAGCAAATAGTAGTCCAGTTCTATTTCAACAGAATGTGTTTATATCACAAACAAGAAATTCACTGTTCTGTGTGGGATATATAAAGCCGATTTTTTCATACTTCATGTTACGTTAAAATCAATGAAACCTCTATGCTTCAAAGGTGTTTTTATATTACATTCTCTTTCGTAGAAGCGTGTAGCTACTCCTTTGATCTTCGAATCACATTTCTTCACTGCAGCAGTATCATGAAAATATAGTGTCGTTAGAACTTGAGTCTTGAAATTCACTTGGTTAAAATGTAATCTAATATTCGGAATGTGGCCTGTTCGAACAATGTCGTCACTCAAATTATTCGTTGTACATGAATCATCATCTCAGGGATATTAAACAGGATTCGATCAAATGCTAACTTGACACTTGTGTTTTAGCTTTCAGCCTCAATTTTTGACGAAGCATATCATGTATGTATGTATATATTTGTATAATATCCAGTTTCCCTGAATGATACATAACAACGATGGGTGAGTAGCAATAAAATGAAGAATAATACGCCATTTCGTTTCACTTGTAGGAGAACCGGAGGAGGTTTCGGTAAGCATTCCTACATGTTGTTGAAACACAGTGTTGTGTTAATAATCAATCATTCGTAGCAGATATTAAAAACCATCCTGAATACGATTCTTCAGTTGACAAAACAGCTACCGGATTCCTGTATTTGAATACATCTCAATAGATTTCACAAACTTTCGTCGCTGATTTCCTTTGAAATGTCCTATCTTATGCAGTTCAGTTTACTTACTTAATTTTAGTTTTTATCAGCCTTATACTTAATGAAACACGTAGTTCTTTTTTGAAACTAGCAATTTTAATTCGTCATGTTTGGAAATCCTGTTTTTTATAATCAGAATTCAAAATATGTAGATATGCTTGCAGCTGCACAAATGGAGAACGATATCGTTAAAGGGAGTAACCTTTCTCTGAATTCCTCTCATCTTATAATCAAGCAAAAATATTTATGTATATGTACATATATATGTACGAGAAACTGAAAAAAATCCACCGAAATTCAAGATAAATTAAAATATATATAGCACGTAGCTAGCTAGCCAAATGATTTCTGAATATTTACTTGCATTGCGCACGCAGCTTCCCTCGAATTCTATGGTAACTGAATGGCTGTGAATATTAAACACGACTTCACCATTTCTGATTGAGTGTGAGATTATCGGGAGAAACAACTTCGTCCTAACAACTATTCCCTAAACTGACCTCGGATAATAAAGGAAATTTTTCGATTATGTGAATAATTGCTTTCAAAATGCTGTGATAATACAAATTCTGTGCTTTTTCATGCAGCATCTAGTGAATCAGATGGTCTCGGTGGGTCTTAAAAGTTACTTTTTTTTGTACCTATGCTTATTACTAGGTCAATGACCAGCTGAAAATATGTCTATGTTTCTAGATCTATTATTCTTTTCTCACTATGATAGTCGATGAAATTAATAACCGCAAATATAGAAAAAAGTTTGATTTTGTTCCTAATTGTGCTCTCTCCTGCAACCCTAGTAGAGGAATATTGAGACTATTCTCTAGAGTGAACCCTCAAGCCTCTGACAAATTTCCAAGGAAATTTCCTTTTTTCCCCTCTATATCTCCTGGCATATATTCTGAAGGAGAATAATGAAAGTCGCACAGTTTGAAAACCCAAAGTTTGGTGCCACTATGGAGATGAAAGTGAATATGTTTTTTATTTCTGCCCATACGCTTAATTGCATCAAAGAAAATGTCTGTCTTTCTAAGAGGGTTAGTTTCTACTGAAGATAAGTTATTTGGGATAGAAGTACTGTGTGACCTGGGGTAGAGTGACAAACACTTACTATCTCTTCCTTTACTCTCATGAAATCTTTTTCCCTTACGTTGAATTACATATGGAGGAGATGAAGGTGCTGTACTTCAGAATGACTGCAGAAATTTTTGAGTGATGAAGTTGTAAACTGTGGACGTACTAGAACTTATCCAACAGTTTATCTAATCTGTTGAGACTAAGTCACTCCATGTCTTGACAGTGAAGTTGGTAACATTAGCCATGAAATTATTAGGCAAAAAGTTGAACATAACGAATAATTTATTAGCGTGGTTCTTCACAGAGGTTTTGAAACAAAATAGTGACTTTATCGTCAAAAGATGACTTGATAGTATAAAACTGACATGAATTCTCATATTTGAACTTTAGCTGGCACATAAAACATGGAATAATCCGTGAAAAATTAATTTCATAGTTATTAATTAATTTCATAGAATTAAGTAAGGAATCATAACATGGATGTTGAAAAAATTAACTGATAAAGATAGAAATGGCTTCACGTTGTCGAATATTTTTGAATTTGCATCTTATTAGTGGGAGCTTCAGTTTACTTCATTAAGTCTGCTACAGTTTGGACTCGTTTTTATCTCAAAGTGAATTTAAGATCATCGCAAGGAAAAGAGATTGTAAATAAAATCAGTGGCATATGAGAGTATAATGAGCCATGTAACTGACCTGGCTACAGCCATACGATAGCCATAAGAAGCGCATCTGTAGATTCATCTTCATGCGATTTCCACCATGGTTCGTACTGAAGTCCGAATAGTCCATGCCCGTCTGTCCACTCGACTGCAGAGCAGCATTCTAGGACACGATGGTGATTCTGATTACCCGATTAAATATTTGTTTCTCAATGTTACTGGACTAACCGTTTAATAATGATGAGTTGAATAAAAAAGGAAGGTTGCCACACTATCACTTCGATTAAAACATATCTACTTATCTTTGAAGTGAAGTAAATAGTCACTTTGCCTTTATGTATGAGGTGATTGATTGTTTCTTTTCTGCGGAATTCTTATTTTCTTCACAATAATGAGTGATTTTCAATGGATTGTTACATTATAAGCGTATATTTAAAACAAATAACTTTACAAAATCTTTGCGATTGTACTGCATTCTTGTTCAAGTACTTTAAAATACATAGATCAAAATACATCATCGTCATTCATATTCACTTTGTTAACAGTTCAACATTAGTCTTGCGCATGATATCCAAATAAATGATTGAAGTATAATGATTGTTTGACTGGTGATATTACATTTCTAAATGAGTATGTGTTAGTTTCATTGGGATCTAACTTTGTGGAATTCAGTGACAGCAGATTGTTACACTCATTGTTTATACGACAGCAGACCGGTTTACTGACACAAATATGTGAATATGATTATCTACCTGATTCTCCAGAGTTATTTTCATTCCTTACAAACTTTCTACTCTCGAAAATATTCGCATAATCATATCGGTATCACAACAAAACTCTGATGAAGTGAAGTATTTTTGAATTATTATGAATTTTATCCATTGTTTATTTTATCGAGTGTCTCATACTGTTCCTATGTGTTACACAGTGCAGTGAAAATTTTTTTTTCATATTCAATAGCTAACTGGATCTGGTTTAGTTTCAAAAGTCTTCAACGTCATAACACTTATTACCTGTACATTGTAATTTCTGGATTAACTTTTTAAAACAGATGGGTTCCTCGTCATCGGTAAGTCATTATTATTTCGTTTATACTACGTCTGTGTTTGCAGAACACTTCTCATTTCCCTTAGAATGCCCGTATTAAAAACTACTCACACAGTCGCATTACAATCTGGGAGATTTATTAGTGGAAGAATAAGTGAGATATTAGGGATAATAATAATAAATGTGATATACGCTTCATATAGATGCTATTCGTGTCTACCATTAGTGATCACAAACACATTAGCCGATTTGTGTCACTGAAGAAATGTGTTTACAGGAGGGAAAAAGTGCCTTGATTTTCAGTTAAAATAAGTGTCTCTCAAGATTCGGAAACGATCGCTGGGTATTTCGTATTCACGTGGTAGTAAAGGAATCCTTCTGATATCGACAAATGTTTTTTTCGAGCGAATTCAGGATTTTGTAATGAAGGAGGTGATTGACAAATGAACTGGTAAATCATTTCGTAGGCTTGAATACAACTTTTTGCATTTATCAGCTTGTAGATACAGTTGGAAGTAGAGTCCACAGAATTTCGTCCTTTAATCGTGGGAACAAGGATCGAAAATGTTCGGTAAATGAGAAAAAGAGATGTGGTCAGCATCAAACGCACATTCAAGGCCGCAACTCTTTTCCTCATTTGCCGAACATTATCAATCCATGTTCCTACGATTAATGGACCAAAATTCTGTAGACACTACTTCAAACTGTATCTACAAGTTCACCTGCAGTTGTTGTGACACTATATAGGTAGAACTAACAGAACGTTCTAATGTTGTCGAAAAGAACATGTTTTAAAATGGCTAATAAATCATAAAGAAAATCCCAACGCGATTAATCTGAATAGAAATCCAGCATCATCCATTGCAAAACACTTATAAATGTCACGTCTCAAAATCAATATTAATGACAGTTTCACAATTATTTCGCATAACTCTTATTCAGTGCTGGTTATTGAAGGTGGTGGGAGCGCTTTGGATTAATCACATACAGCCTAAACTGTGTATACAAAAATCAACAGACTTCAATCTTCGCCCTGGACTGCATGACCTATCTAAATATGATTGATCATTAGTATGTACTTTTTTTTTATTTAACTGAGTAATTTTCATGAACTTTATTTCATCATTGTTAACCATGTTAGTTGTAAAGCGGTTGTAAAGAAACTACGAAATGATATCATCTCGCGAAATTTCTCTTCCTAATACAATATCCAAATGTTGACATTATCAGACCTTGTGGAATATTCTTTCAACTACTTCCGGTGTAAACATGATAGTCATCGATTTTCAAACTGCTAACATCCAAACCTGATAGCGGTGTTTTAAATCAGAATAAAAGTTGTAGCATAACAACGGCTTCATAGCAGCTATCTTATGAATATGTGATTTGCTTATGCATCAAAATATAAAGAAGCGCCAGAAATGTTATCAGAAATACTTAGCTTTCATGTTCATCAGGTTGAAAATCCTTGGTTTTAATTCAATTTGTTGTTCATATGATAGGGGGCTCGTCGGAGTCATTGGTGAGTATCTGTGTTACTTTCTGGATTGTGGTATCAGTTGAGACTGTCATTACTTCATATGAGCTGAGAACAATTCAGGCGAAATGTCAATATTAGAACATGACAAATAAAAGTAACATGAAGCCATGAAACAATGTGTCGACCACAATGAAAGACAATAAAGCTTACATGATAAAAGAAAATAACTGTTTTGTGTAAAAAATTTTTTACTTCTGAGTTCCTGAGGAAAAACCACTAATACTATCTTTGTATAAAACTGCAGAGCTGAAACCTCAGTTGTGTGCTATCTATTAAATAGGAACAAAGGTGTAGCTTGATTTGCACCTGGAGTGGATATTTTATTTACGTTGACTTACTCTCTGAACTTGATGGTTATTTAACGAAAGTTTTATCACCTTTTCAGCAGCACTTTTACCGGGTGCATAAAACCTGAAGTAGGTTTTGTTTAAATGAGCATCTCAAATACTAACAGCACACCACTAATTATTTATCGCTTATTTAGTAGTATTCATCTACTATTTCTGCACTCCTTAAGTTTTCTTTTTCTTCTTAATAGTCATTTTAAATATTGTAATAGTCGGTTAATTACTATAGATCACATAGCCATAAATTTAAGGTATAACTTCTCCAATTTGAAAATACTTTTATGCTGATGTTACAAACGATAAGTGAATAAATCAAGTTAAATCGTGTCATTACTCCACATACAGATAACTAAATAAGTAGTTCATGTTATCCCTGTAACTGTTATTTTCTCAAGTCCTATTCCAGGAAGAGTACAATTTTTCAAATTAAACTGAGTTATCTTAAAGCTCGCCTTTTTCTAACTACTTTATACCACATAAAGCTGTAACGTCTGCCATCATGCGTAGTATTTCTGAATAGTATTAAGCCAGTATTGTTACAGAATTACTACAACGCATGTGAAAACCATCACATTATTGGTAACATGGTTTTGAATCAACTGATGAATAAAGTGAGGTGAAAAATGAAAAACATTAAAAAAAAAGACGTTGTTTGATTACAGTGATTCATATGCCAAATATTGGTCTAGAGACAGGATTCAACAGAACAGTTGTGATAGTTTACAAGTTGATGAAATTTTCAAGGTCTTATCTCGCCATTTCAAACATACTTTGAAGAACCAAAGTGCACGTGTTGTTTCAATTGATTCAGTTTGGTCAGTATTTCATTATTGTTTTTGTGGTCACAAAGATGACGAGATTGTCAACAGATTCAGCCTTCAGGTAATGCAAAATAAGGCACCTAATCCGGGAGTTTTTTCACGTGTTGTCACAGAGTTACAGACATGTTTTAATGGTTCGTCAAGTGATATAATAATAATAGTGTGACAAAATCCAAATGTTCGTCGGACACTGAATTGCTTAAAACAGAAATATTTGAAAATATCAGAACGTCACACTGTTTGATCATTTTTGCAACAATCTAAATATTTATGACTTTAAAGATGAAACTGCTCCACAGTGTGTAAATCATTTATGTATCATTTTTTCTTTGGTAGGTTGGAATAAAAATGCCATGACGGACTTCAGTTTCGTAATTATCTTCGTAAAATAATTGACTCACATAGCACAGACAGAATATTGGGGATTTCTATTAACTGTACAATTTATTCACATTCATTTTCCAAAAGAGATAAATGCATCTAATTCATCAGTTGAGAAAATTGAACGTAATTTGTTTTCGCATCCATTTTGCTGTACAACAAGTCGATAAATTACTTGAACAGTCTCATTGATCTAGGTCACATGATTCGTCTTTAGAATGATAAAATTTGACTTTTTTTGAATTGAAGAAACAATCGATATTGTGTTCAATGACATTTCACTGTGCACTTGTCTGATATTTGCATTTTAGCACTTTCTATTGTGAATATTGTATGTCATTCAAGTATTCAATTTCTAGATTCAGAAGTTTGTAGCCACACGGTGGTTACTCTAAAGCAACACAGACAGAGAGTTAACTTAACGCCTTGTAGTGTTTTGTGCTACCTATTAATTCAATTACAAACGAGACAAAAGATAATGATTGCTATTTCAAATAAGGTGGTAACTCATGCAATTATAAACCAAGATACTAAGAGTGCTTTTGATGCGTTTATTTTCAAAGTCCATCTCACTTGAATTTGTGAAGCATCTGCATGATAGATTAGAGATGAATTTAATGTCGAAGAGAATAAATGAACGATTCTTATAATACAATGCTGGAAACATGAAACGGGAGCACAATACAGAAGATATATATGTTTTTTATTTCAGTATATGGTAAATTGTCTTGCGTATGTTTGCACATCACTTTGCCAATAAACTCAAAATGAATGATTGGTCAGTCGAAATAAGGGATGATAAGAACTGAGGAGAACAAGAAGAAGGTGGAGTAGAACGATTATTTTGTTTCTTTTCTGCGTTCAGATGTCGTTTGAGGTTAGTCAGAATAAGCGGATTCCAGTTATTCAACTTAAGTCATGGAGCAGTACAACTGCATAAGTTTTCGGTGTTTCTCTACCACTCACCATTTTGTTATTCAGTAGATAAAATTATCGTCGAAAATTGTCTTATATCTCCCAATTCCTTTCGATTTTTACCTATTGATGATAATTCTGACTTTTGGTTAGGCGTGAAAATATAAATTCTGATAACACGCATAGTACGGAGAGTTGAAGTGATTCGTGCAGAGATTAGCTTCGTGTAGACTGAAGCTTGGTTTTTCACATGAAATATCAGCTAGTAATGTCAGTAAGATTTAGCAAACCACACAACCCATATGTCTAACATTGCAGCTGGACACTTAAGCATACATCTACAATTAATCAATTCTTTAGAAAAATATGCCAAAATACCACTGACTAATGTAAGTGGTCCTAAGGAGATAAATCTAAATAATAAAACCACACTACAGTTACACAAATTTTCCAGCTTGTACTTAATAATGACAAAGAATACTTTGTATGTGCTTTCAAAAATGAGCAAGTCACAAAGCCTACGCAAAATGTAAAGAAAGACTTGACTTACGAATAGAACTTCGACAACATAGAGTAAGCGTATTCAATGAAAACATGCAATGATATATGGCAGTGTTTACTGAAGACGTTTCCAAAACACTCTATTGCTTATAAACACACCCAGGTACTCACACAATTTTCTGAATTCGTCTATATAATCCCACTATTTCTCCTGCGTGTTGAGGTTCGACATTAAGCTGAAATGGAAAAGTGCGATAATATCGATGACGATGTTTACAGTTCACAGAGTGATTTCTGCAAACAAATTATATCAGACATATCAAATTACGATAAGCAAATATTTACAAGTTGGATATGCACTGATTGACCACAGTCTGACAGATGACAATGTCCCATGCTGTCTGGTCAAAAATCTGGCTAGTGTATCAGCGAATCTATTTTCTACCTGACCACTGAGGAATATCAGATGAGAAAATAATTTTTCAGGTTAAAAAGCAGATGTATTTTGACTTATTCAATCAGAAAATCATGAGAAAATTCAGGAATTTTAAGTAGGCCCTCATGTATTAATTACATCTAAACTGATTATATTTTTTATGTAGGGATGAATCATAATAGAAATCATCGGGTCCATGACTCACTAGTGAAATGCGACAAGCATCGAAGCAAAATGAAACAGTCACAAAAGGCCACAGTTAATAAAGCTTTTCCAAATTCGTCATACTGAATTCGCTTACTCGAATAACAGTAAAATGTTTAAAATGGAAAGTCGCAGTGGTACTGAGTGATTCAGCTGAATTTTACAAGCCGAAAAGGAACATTTCACATCTCTGGACATTCAAACCTTGACAACCTGAAGTATTCTAGAGTTTGTGAACATGTGTTCTAAGTAGTACACTATCCGTCATCCTGTACTTTTCCGTGATCGATTCTTAAAAGTAGAAGATTCACACAATACTGGTGTTTGTGAATCAGCAATATTTTGTTTTATTTACATGCACATACACACACAATAAAATCACGAACAGTACGCATCTATACAGCACGCATATCATTACTCTACGTCAAAATTGGCAATCCATTTTGTCACTATGTAACTAAACCTGTCTTAGTTTCATTTAGTTCTGACAGATTTTATATTCATTTCAAGACTAACAAGCCTCGATCTCCTTCACATTTGCTTCAAATTCCATGGTAAATTTTTTGTAGC